CTGAAGTAGCCTGTAAAAACAGAACTTAAGTTCTACTGTAACTAACTGTTTCTGAAGGAGCTTAAGTCCAATTGTAAATTAACCGTTTCTGAAGGTAAGTCTGTAAAAACAACGAACTTAAGTTCTACTGTAAACTAACTGTTTCTGAAGGAGCTTAAGTCCAATTGTAAATTAACCGTTTCTGAAGGTAAGTCTATAAAAACAACGAACTTAAGTTCTACTGTAAACTAACTGTTTCTGAAGGAGCTTAAGTCCAATTGTAAATTAACCGTTTCTGAAGGTAAGTCTGTAAAAACAACGAACTTAAGTTCTACTGTAAACTAACTGTTTCTGAAGGAGCTTAAGTCCAATTGTAAATTAACTGTTTCTGAAGGAGCTTAAGTCCAATTGTAAATTAACCGTTTCTGAAAGGAAGTCTGTGAATATAAGTATATAAAGTGCAACTGTATACTAATTATTTCTGAAGGATTAATCCATAAATAAATAAAATTATGTTCAACAGTAAAGTGACCATATTCGAAGGTAAGCCAATGAAAGCATAAATTGTAAATTAACTGTTTCTGAAGGTAAATTCATAAGAGAAAAAATGTTATATAAATCTATTTACTAATCATTTCTGAAGATAAATATCTTAATTCCAATTTCAAACATTCTCTAGATATGAGCCAATAAAGTGAAAAAATTGTAATATACTGTAAGTTGAAATCAAGGACTTTAAGTGAAACTGTAAGCTGCTTCTAAAAACGATTTCTTTTTCAAATAATAGTAATTTTTAAAGTACCCAAACTTATATATCCCTTCTTCAATCTTTTTAACATTGATCTAATTCAGAGTTTGAAGATAACTTATCTAATGTTATAATATTATAACCATACCATTTGTCAGGTAGAAGCACTGACAGAAATTAAATAATCTACACATAGAAAGAGGGGATTGGGTGTGTGACCCCTGACAAGAGTTTGGGTGTTGATCTCCTTTTTTGAAGGTGGGACCAGTGGGGTGAAGCCTGGTGCACCACAGTTATAGAGGAAATTGCATATTTTCTAACTTTTGAACTTGTGATTTAGTACTTTTTTGAGTTTTTGTTTTCTTCTTAACTTTGGTTTGAAAATGTTTGGGGGAAACAATCATATGCACATGCATATTGTGCATAAAAGGCATTTCCCTCTTGCAAGGTAGTTTAATGTTTCTGTAATTATTTGGAGTACCTCAATATTTCTTTAAAGTTTGATTACATTCTCGTTTGATTATATACCTTCTGAATAAGAAGTATCCATTTCTTTTTATTTCCTACATTCTTTTCATATAATGTGTCTCTCCTCAGAAGTTCAATGAACTTTATTCATGTAAGCTATTCATTATTTATGATTTCCATTTTGGGTAGGAATGATAAAAATTTGCATTTTGAGGGACCTCCACTCCTATGAGTTGCATGGCCATTTACCCATTTTTGTTAGTAACTTTTTACTTTTTAGGTGATTCCAAGACCGTGTGGGTTCAACCCTTTCCCATTCTTTTACACAGGAACTTGGAATCCCTCAAGGTTGTGTCTTGAGTGACACCCTTTTCAGTATCAAGATCAATGCTATCACTAAACAACTTCCTGTTACTGTTATAAATATCCTATTTGCCAATGACTTCCACATTTCTTGTTGTAAGTCGAACATAATGTTTATTGAGCAGCAACTTCAGACTGCTTTCATTCGCTTGTTGGATTGGACCACTGCAAACAGTTTTACTGTCTCTCTTCCTCTAAAACCGTTTGCATTCATTTTTGCTACCAACAGGGTTTACACCCCAATCCTGAGCTCCATCTTGGTGTTGTTGTTCTTCCTGTGGTTTCTGAGTTGAAGTTCTTGTAGTTTATCTATGACCATAAGCTTACTTGCATTCCTCACATCAAGCAGCTTCACGTCGAGTGTACAAGGGCACCTAACATCCTCTGTGTGCTTTCTTTCACCTTTTGGGAAGCAGATCAATGTTCTATGTTGAAGATCTAGCATGCTCTCATATATTCCAAACTGAACTATGGTCTATGCTTCTGCCAGGCCCTCTGTCTTGAAGATGTTGGACCCTGTTCACTATCTGGGGGCTTTGTCTGTGCACTTCACCAGTCCAGAGTCTGTATACTGAGTCCCTTTAACCTCCTCTTCACCTCCACCGTTTGCAACTTTCTTTGCAATATGCTACCAAGCTTTGATCCTTACCACAACAATCTGCTTGGGGTTTTGTCTTCCTTACTTGGTGGGCTATGCTGTTTCATAATGAATGGTCAGCCATTCCTCCTTTTGGCCTTCATATCCAGGCACAGGTCATCCCATTCCATTATGGCTCATTACCATCACCACTTGTGACCTTTCTTTGAGTTTTCTGAGGAAGGTGGATACTTCCAATTGGAAGTACTGTCTTCTCTTTGTCGAACATTTTTAGAAACATTCTTCTGTACCCGTTTTTATGGATGGTTCAAAATCAGGTGACTGTGTGGGCTCTGCCATGGTTTGTTGTGGCTTGGTGGTTGCTGACAGAATCCTCTCTACAGTTTCTGTGTTCACTGTCGAGTTTTATGCCATTTGTCTTGCCCTGGATCACATAGAAGCTAAGCAGTACACTAGCCGTACTAATTACACCAACTCTCTTAGTTCTCTGTTGGCCCTTGTATAGGCTATGCATCAGTCATAATTTTTTTACTCATTGTTTTCTTTTATATGGGACTGATCTGATAATATGTGGCCTTCGTGATTTTCAGATCACAACTGACCACATTTTACTTTCGTGCTGCCATTACGAATGTCAGCGATGGCACCATTTTAGACATATGCTTTCTACGAGTTTACCTCCTGATGTTAGACAGTACCATTGGTGGTGGTGACACTGTCCAACTTAATTGTGTTTTTAGTTTTTTATGGGCCATTGGTCTATTTACTCTTATTTAGATGTTTACCTAACTTTTGGGCATTTTTTCATTTTTACTTGTTTTCTTTCCTTTTATTGTATTTTACAGTTGTTTGGCACAGATAGCATAGTTGCTTTGTGCCAGTAAATTCCAACAGCAAGACAAACAGCCAAGTAATGTGGTCGTACATATATGTATGTAACCACTGAGTATATAAGTTGTATAATGTGTAGGATGAATATCTAAAATATTTAAAGTGATGACTCCAGATAATTTGATATCACTGTTTTCCAAACAGCTGAAAAAGCTCCCGTAATCAAGCTGAAGAAGTTGGACTTTGTTGGTGATTCTGGCAAACCACTGACAATTGAAATACCTTATTTTGGTGAGTATTTCTGCTTTAAGTACATTAGATTTAGTATTATTTCTTTAAATTAAGATATTTATCGTAAGTATATTTAACTCTTTCCACATGGGCTCACTTTAATTGTCTTAATTCATAACCATTTTGTACACATTACAGTTGCCATATTATAACTTTTAATACAGTATGGGTATCTTCACAAAATTTGGCAAACTTTCAGTAAACATTACAAGACTTTTGTACACAAAAAACTACATTTTTTAATTAAGTATTTTTTAATAAAGATTTGTCTGTGAATATATTAAATAGTTTTGTTTACAAGTTTGAGTGCAAAGTGATTTTCATGTGAAGATTAAAAAGAATTACATTTATTTGAAAGTTTTTCAATTTCATTTATGTAATCTATAAAACCTCCTAAATAATTATAAAACTTTTTTTTTCAATAAAACTATACTTTATCTGTTATTTCCTCTACTCTATTTCTGTATACAAGGTTGGCCAATTTAACCAACCTTGTAAGCACTAAAAATAAATCGAAATTACCTTTTTTTCTTTTAAGAATCACTTCAAATTGTAATATGAAACTACATTTGTTTATACTAAATAGCTTCAAACTTGTAATAGTATACATCTGTTTATACTTAAATTTCATTGTTTTATTGCCTTTTGAATCATGTCTAAGTTAATATTCTCACCATAAAATTTGTAAATCAATTGGTGAACATGGAGCTCATTTTATCTGATCGAATTACATAAGACATGGGCTACTCACAAGCATACCTCATGAACAATTTTTATTATTATTTACTTTACCTAATCTAACCTCGTCTAACCTAAAGAGTTTCTAATTTTTGCATCTTAATTTATTTAATAAATAAAGAATACACATGAAAAACAAGAAATACACTAGTTACCTAGATCTTTCTTTTTTTACTGTTGACTGTTGTTGACACTTAACCCTACTTTTTTATACTAATGGTACAAGTGCACTAAATATTTTTTCACTTAATTAAATAATGCACCAAAGAACACTGAATGATAGCATGTAGAAAGCAGGCAGTGTCCCATAAATATCAAAATTTTTCTGGCTTTGTAACTATGCAACAAGAGCTGTTAAAAATTCACCTATGTTCGTTGATGTGTTTCCCCTGGAAATAAAGTTTGAACTGGAAGCACGATAGACAATTCTCTGTACAGAAAACAATGCAATTTAATATGTCATTTGATAGAATAAAACCTTGACTTTCTATTGGTTATAAGTAATATAGTATGAAATGTCAGAGAGAACTATTGGCAATTTCTGAAAGAGAGGGTATGACAGGTAGGCATGGCGATATCAGAATTACACATTGCCTGACTGATGACAACATAGTAATGAGTAATTTACGTTAAATTACATACTTCTTGGATAAATAAATTAGAGAAGAGGGGGATACCTAGAGAGCAAGTGTCACAATTCTCACAGAAAGGGAAATTGAGGATTTTTTTAAATATTGTTTTATAAAATTAAGAACTTAAAACTTATATAATGCTAAAATTTAGATTTTTAGCTACATTTTTATGCCAAGTTGTTAGTGTACTGAACTGTGGATCCATGGTTCATGCCCTGCTACATCCAAAATAAAAATATTGCACTTTGAACATTTGTAGTCATGGGTGCATTATAAGTGTGACAGTCAAGTTCTGCTTCTTGATTAGAGTAGTCCAAGTGTTAGCAGTGATTGATTTTGACTAACTGCCTTCACTCTAGTCTACTACTTCATATAAAAAATGGCTAGCTCAGATAGACCTTGGGTAACTTGGTACAAAATTCAATAAAGATCATCTTTATTATATGCATCATATATCTGTGATAATCTTGCCTTTATTTAGTGTATTTTAAATATCAGAATTGTTTACACAACATAATTGTCTCTTGATAAACATAAAAAATGGTTCAGTCACAAAAATGTAACTTTACATAGTTACAGATTAATAACTTCTGACAGTAAAAAATCTATTGTGTTCATCTCATTACATCCAGTTTACCACTTTATAAGTTAAAATGCTAGTTTATGTTCTACTTAAATAACTGTCTTTAAAAATAGTATTTTGCACGTGTTTAAAATAATAGAAACAAATTGAGTTGAACTTTTGTTAAACTTTCTTTTTACAACAATTTCAACTTAACATTGAAGGATATTTAAAGAGATGGGTTTAAAGCCAGAAAATCTGTTGTTTTTGCATCAAGAGTTAAAAAAAGCATTTTTACCAGATGGGAAACTATTGGATGGAAATAAAGCAAAAGGGTCAGAGAAGGATGTAGATGATAAAGAGGTTATAGTTATAGGTGACTCCTTGATAAGGCATGTGGATAGTATGGTAAATAGGGAGAAAATAATAATATTACACTCTCCAAGGGCACAGGTGGAGAATATAACTAACAGAGCAGGAGATATAATAAAGGGGGCTAACAGAGATGCAGTTTTTGTGGTGCATGTAGGGGCTAATGATGTAGGGAAAGGTAGGTCAGAGGAGCTAATTAATAAGTACAAGAGGTGTATAAAGACATTTAAAGAAAAAGGATGTAACTTAATTTTGTCAGAGATACTGCCCAGAATTAATAGCGGGGATGAAGTTATAAGTATGTCACTAGGACTAAATGCTAGGCTCAGGTTAGTATGTGAGGATGAGCAGAGAAAAGTTTAGCATAGTAAATGAGTTTAGGAGTAGTTATAAGGATAGGCTTAATTGTTACTATTGTAATGCTAGAAGTATAAGAAATAAAATAGATGACTTTAG